AGGGTTTATAGGGTTTAGGGTTTTTGTACTGCAATACAAGAACAGCCCAGTAAAGCCAAGCAGTTAAACCCGTCGCCCGAGAGACGTGTCAGGGCGATCTCCTAACAGACGTCAAGCGACATCAGCCGCACTCGATATGAGATCCCCTACTACCAACTCCGGTGATTGGGATTGTGGCGTTTATGTCAGGTTTGTGGGCCCCTGTGAAGGGCTGAGGCAATCAGGGCTCCTTTGCAAAGGCTTGCCACTAATTGCTAATTCGCGCCTAAGCCTTCATGTATATAATGCTACGGCCCTATGAAAATGCCATATGCAAGCCGGCAAAGCCATCTTTGGATCGTTAACGCCCTGATGTTGACCGCCAGCCCCTTGTCCCCCAAGGTATGCACGTGACACTGGACACCGGCGAGGACAACCTCGGCTGTGTCACCTATGTCTCCGTGGGAGCCACGAATGTAGCTCGGCGGTGATGTGCAGAAGATCCCACTAAACCCAAGGCCGTAAACCCTAAACCCCGGCCGTTGCACTTAAAAAAAACCCTAAACCCCCTAAAACCCTAAAGCCTAAGCTTTGCCAAGGCTTACTGTGGCAAGGAGCATACTTCGTGTGGATGTGACGTTCTTGTCCTTGTACCTCATTGAAACTCTCGGTGTGTTCTTTGGGTTCTCGCTTGTAAGAGCAAGAGGATACCCTTGTGGACATTCTCCCCAAAAGGGGCCGCAAATTAGAAACCACTCCATGTGCTGACCCTAGGCCCTAAATCCTAAACTCTAAACCCAAAACCCTAAACCCTAGGCCCTAAACCCTAAACCCTAAACCCTAAATCCTAAATCCTACACCCTAAACCACTCATGAGTCACCTGGAAGCTCCCCAGTCTCCCGACGCCCGCAGCGCGAGGTGGGCTCTGTGATGCACACCTCTTACGTCGGGCAGGACTGAGGGGTTCGGGTTTACGGTTTTCGGGTTTAGGGATGCTGATAGGGATGATTAAGTGTGAGACTTGCATTTTTTTGTGTCAGGGAAAGGTCGCGAGATGTACCGTTCGGGTGAGACTGATTGCAACTTGCTTCCGCTGGAAGTGTGCTCAGAAACCGAAGCGCGTATGCCTGTCTTTTCGGATGCTCGTGCTGACCTAAACCTTACAGCCTGGAGCCAAATCCTACCGCTAGTTAATATAGGGGCGTTAATAATTAGAGTAGGGTTATATTATGCTATAATTATAACCAGGAGCCCCCAAAACTCTTTTCTAATGATTAAGGCCCCTGCATTGAGCCTTAGTCCGCGATGCTCAACCTGGTTCCGGGTTTCCATCACGCTAGCATGCCCTTCCTCGATATGTTTTGAACAGTTTGGGAAAACGCAGCAGTTAGCCTTTGGTTTTGACTCAGGGGTAGGTTGGGTTCCCGGGTTGGGGCAGGAAGTCCTTCGTGGCATGGAGCACGGCTACATGGCCGGGGCATTTGCTTTCGTTTGTTTTGCCCTAAACCCTAAACCGTAAACCCTAAACCCTACACCCTAAACCCTGAACCCTAAACCCTACACCCTACACCGTAAACCCTAAATTGCGGATGTCGGGCTTGGTTGGAGGGGCATTTGGGCGCTGGGGACTTCGGGCAGTTGAGTTGTTGGGGTTTGAGAGTTTAGGGTTCCGGGTTGCCTAAACCCTAAACCCTAAACCCTAAACCCTAAACCCTAAACCCTAAACCCTAAACCCAAACCCTAAACCCCAAACCGAGGGATCGGGAGCCGTTCCTTTCTTTTTTTTTTCGGGGTGGGGGGGGGGGTTGGATTTTGCGGTTCTGGGCTTGAAGATGAGCCTTGGCCTTAAGATTTCAAAGACTTAAACTCGGGTTTGCTTGGAGGTTCATGGGTGGTTATAAGTAGGGTTTATGGGGTTCCTTTACGGGTTCCTTTAAAGGGTTCTATAGGGTTTAGGGTTTAGGGTTCAAGAGTAGCGACAAGTAGGGGACTTACAACCCCACTTATAACTACCCTTGAACCTCCAAGCAGGGTCTGGGAAATAGGGCTTTCAGGCTTCAGAGCAGGTGGGCTGGGATCGAGCTCTTTGTAGGGTGCAGAGCTTTCGAGTTTAGGGTTTTTGCTGGTGGTTCGGTTTCGAGTTGGGTGTGAGATAGTCTGCAGGGTTTTGGTTTTGCCTGCTAGCGGGCTCAGGGAAATAGAAGGATGCTTACCAGCAGTAGACCCAGGTCAACTACACTCTTTCGAACTAGGATGGAAGCGTCAAGGGCATAATATAGTGCCCTCAATAATTTTAGTAGGGTTTGGGGTATAGCACGCTATACATATAATTAGGACCCCCCCCAAAACCCTATTCTGATGATTAAGGCCCCGATATGAAGGGCCCTCTTCCGCGCCCCTAAACCCCTAAACCCTAAAACCCTAAACCACTAAACCCTAAAACCCTAAACCCTAAAACACAAAACTAAACCCCCAAAAAGGACCCTAAAAGGGACGAGAACGACCCTAATCTTAAGACGCTGTCCTTGTGGAAGGCCTTCGGAGGCTCCACCGTCTTGGTCTTCGTGCGACGGGGCGTCCTAGACGTGGTGGATCCGATCAGGCCGGCATGGGGGCAAGGCTGTTTTTGATTTTTTAGGATTTGGGGCTTTGAAATTTAGCTTAGTTCTCCAATACCCAGCCTTTAAACTTTTTGGGCTCTTATAGTTGAGTAGTAATCTGGAATTTAACCTTTTATTTTCTTGGCTTATTGGGGAAGTAAGTTAGAGTTTGGGGATGGAAGGCCTTAGGGTTCAGGAGCTAACGTGGATTCAAGCTTGGAGTTAGGTTTTCTTGAGTGTAGGGTTAGGAACGCTAAACAACCTACTCCAGAACCCGCGCCCTTAAAACGCCAAGAGTTCTTAACCCCTTAAAGCCCTCCTTCCCCTCTTGCGACAAAAACAAACCGACACAAAGGCAGGTGAGCCCCATCCCTAAACCCTAGACCCTAAACCCTAAACCCTAAACCCTCATAACTAAGCCCGAGGCAGATGAGCTCCATCCCAGTGGAGACCATCGTGCACCTCGGAGACCTCCTAGCCACGCAGAAGACCTCCGCACCTCCGGCAACTTGTGCGAGGGCTCAGAACAATGACTGGTAGAGTCTAGGGTTCAGGATTTAGGGCTTAGGGGTTTTGGAGGTTAGGGTTGAGGGTTTAGGGGCTAGGGCTTGGGGGTTTTTGGGGTTGGGGTTTAGAAGCCTGAGGGTGCTACAGAGATGAGGTGACTTTAGATGAGGGCTTTTTGGGCTGTAGCAGTTCAGTCACTAGATCGAAGCAGCAACGATTGTTATAGATACCATAGACCTATCCCCAGACCCTTGCACAGCACCCACAACACCACCAACTGAAACTCCGCCACCCAACCTAGTCAAGGTTATCCTGACACCTCATACACCGTAGCACATAGAAAAGCCATAGTAGGCAACCGCAAACCCTTAAAGTGAGACAATGGAAACGGTCTCAGTTTTTAGGATAATAGGAACAAGTTTAAGGAATAACATTGCAACGGTATGAAGCCGCATCAAGTACTTGTCCATGTGGTCGTCTTTTCGCATCAAGCGCCCTTTCTGGACCATTTCTTCCGGCCTGCATCTCTCAATCGTAAGCGGGCCTGGTACTTAGCCACATTCTTCTTGACATCCACAACCGCAAGGCTTTCTTGTTTGCGTGCTGTCTCGGTTTCACCGTGTTGGATGCTTGTCCGGAAGCATGGGCACAGGTGGACTCACACTGCCAAATCCTTACCCCACTACGGGAAGTTTCGAGCTTCCTGCAACCGTCATAATTGGCAGTTGTATCACGAGGAAAGGTGGTTTGATAGCTGTCAGTGCAGATTTGGGGTATGATGTGCCAGCAGATTTTGGACCAGTTTTGGGAGTCGCCGCTGGCCCCTGTCATACTTGTGCAGTGTGTGCAGGTGGTCGTCTCAGCTGTTTTGCAGACAATCTTTTCTGGGCAGTCTGACGTGGACAACCGCTGATCATACAGAAAAAGCACTATTCAGAGCCAAGGTGGCGATGGCCTTTTTGACCTATCCACAGTAGCTTCACCAGCATTGTCAGCTTTTTTGACCCAACAAGTTCAAACCCAGACCAGAAGTTGGAACACCAAAACACGGACGAATGCCCCTGTAGAAAAAGAGGCACAGCCATGCGACCGGCAATTTTTAAGATTTTGTGAACACCAGCGTCGGGATAGCGGTTGAACCACCCTCAAACAGTCAGCAGTTCGAATCGGGTTTACAGCGTGTCATTACCTTCAACCTTCTGGTGTTTCTGACCTAATTTGGTTTCACTTCTGTATTAATGCAAGTTTCTTGCGACCATTTGCTCACGCACTTTTTTTCGCTTGCTTTTCTTTTCCTAAATACTTTAACTTCGTCGCCTACATCTAACTCTTGATACACACTGGTTCTTCTTTCCCTTGATTGCTAAATTCAATTTCACTTCAGACTGGTTGCCGGGTTTTCGGGCTTCCTCAGGTGTAATTCCCGTCGCCGAGTGCACTGTTTGATTGTATTATATGCTAATAAAATATATTTCTAACATGTATTCTGGCCATTGGTTGTCCTGTTTTCTTTTCTTCTCGTCTGCCTCAACCCCGCTGTTTTAACAGATCCTTAAATGTTCGGATGGCCCTTTCGCCAAAAGTTTGGTTGCGCCTTTGTTCGGTGATGTTCTATGATCTTAAACCCTAAAATTCACGGTTTTGGATTTAGGGTTTAGGGTTTAGGGTTTAGGGTCCTAAACCCTAAACCCTAAACCCCAAACCCCTAAACATCTCTCGAATGCTTTGTATCGCCTCCTTGGTCATTGCTCCATCGTCGTCTGTATGTATCCCGTTTGATGTTTAGGGTTTAGGGCTTAGGGCTTAGGGCTTAGGCATTCAATCGTTTGCTAACTCCTCCTCTTTGTTTCCTTGTGTTGGCACAGCATGCATCAGTTTGTTGAAAACATTAATCAATAGCACCCCTATCTTGAACTTCTGATTGGGAATGCCGTTCATAAAAACAAATCCATCCGATACTGGTTACAGGGGATGGGCTAGAGCATGCGCTAGGTAGACTTACCTAGTCAAAAAATACGGCCTCCAGGTATTTTGTGGCTGTCTGGCTTTATCACGGATTGAGCGGTCGAGGGACTACTGGGCACAGCAATAGTCTCAATCATGTCAATATCATTGATACCCCCTGGCCGCAAAAGGTGTAAAGCAGACTAGGCAAGATTGAAGTTCAACACAGCCGACAAACACACGGATAGTAGCAATGGGAATAGACAGCAATAGCAGTGACAGCACCAGATCAAGGGTGCAGCAATTCTGATAGTAAGGCGTTCAATGCTTTGACCTGCTGCAAATTCTCTCTATCCACCTGGCCAGAGCAGAAGTGTTTCCAAACAATGGCTCGCATCGAGGTGCCTCCAGACAGAAAACGGCTTGAGAGTGCGCTTTCATTCTGTGTAAGGCATTCATGATGAGCACTCTGCCGCACATGCGGTGTACTTCATGAGAGATGGCGGTAGTGTGAACACTCAAAGCGGCAAACATTGCGACCACAATGACGTCCACCAACCCTGAACCCTAAACTCCTAAACCCAACGAATTCTGTCAACCTTTGGACCATTCTGGAAGCCCAAGCGTGCTCCAAAATCACATCTCGTGCCAGGACCACAAAGCCTGAATCGCCAACCCTCTACCCTTCACCCCACACCCTAAGCCCCTGCCCTAAACCCTGGTACCCCGAACCTCACTAACACCCTAAACCTCAAGCCCGAAACCCCTAAACCCCTGAACCCCAAACCCTAAACCCTACACCCTAAACTCTGCACACCAAGCCCTATCCCCTAAACCCTAAGCCCTAAACCCTAAACCCTAAACCCTAAACCCTAAACCCTAAACCCTAAA